AAAACGGGTTGGTTCATTGGAAAGGGGACACTCTTATTAACACTTTGGCAAATTTTCATACTCATATTCCAAGAAATGGATTTTATACGAATTTTTAAAACTTAATCGGCGAAAATTTCAAAATTCGAAAAAATTGTCGATCATCTAAAAAATTTATTTCTCAGAAACTAAAAACGATTTTTCAAAACGACTTGTTGCATTAAAAAGGGGATACTTTAATTAATAATCGAAAGTGATAGTAGTGACAGTTCTGTTAGTAATGGATGTGATGATGAATTACAAGCGAAGAGAAGAAAACTAGACGAAACTACAACAAGAGATTTTATATATCGCATTGGAATTGTTCATTGGACCTGATATAAATAAAGTTTAAAATTTCTTCTTTAATAATGTTTTCCTGGAAATTTCAATAATATTATCTTATAATTTTTATATCATATCATAAACTAGGATCTTTAAGCTTCAATTTAACATACATATCATATCTTGATTCTTAAAAATGCATTCGATATGATTTTTTGAAAATTTCGTTCTGTTTGATTTATAAATGTCACAATTTCTTCTTTAATAATGTTTTCCTGAGAATTTCAATAATATTATCTCATAATTTTTATATTATATCATAAACTAGGATCTTTAAGCTTCAATTTAACATACATATCATATCTTGATTTTTAAAAATCTATTTTTATATCTTTTTAAAAATCTTTTTCATTTGTATTCAATGAAAGAAGTCCTATTGGGGTTGAACTTGATTATTATCTGCAGTTTCCAAAACCTAAAACAGATACTAATTCCTTCGGTCATTATTTTGCCTGACAATTCTTTTAAGATTATGCCTTACAAATTCAAAATCGTTAAAGACGCAGCTTAACAGCGTGTCTAACTCATTTTCATATAGGTACGTCAATATCATTCAAGACACCTTTCAATATCGTATCTCAATCCTTCACGTCGCACACCTCAACATGGTCATTGATGTTATTTCCAAACACTCAATATCGCTCTAACCGTTCCGATACTACTATATACTAATATATCATCGTAGGTACATCTCATTATCACATCGATCATCCCTCAAAGTCGCTTCTGGAATCGCCACCTAATCCCGAATATGCCTCTCTGTTGGCTCAAATCCTTTATTTCAGACTCCTTTCAATTTTCAGATCGATTCTCAGCATAGGATTGACTTTCATCATCTTGGTCGAGCCTTCTCATGTCGTCCGGAACATATCTCAATATCGTACTTGTCGCCTCTTAAAGCCTCTTAATATTTTACCCTTTACATCGGCTGAAACACACTATAATATTGTCTCTAACATCTCTTAACATCGTTTCGGACAGCACTCTATGTCGTTTCTGGCTACCTTCAACATCTTTCCGAATCTGTCTTTAATATTACCACACATTCTCTCTGGTTTCGCTCAACATTTTTTCCAAACATTCTTTATGTAAATTTCTTGACTCAAACTTCTTGACATTTCTCAACATCGTTCATAATTTTGTTAACATAGCACTTAGATCAATTTTTCTCCTTCATCATATAGATGTCAATAGAATGAGGATAACTCATTCTACATTTCTTATTAAAAGTAATTTCTGACATTTTTCAAGATAACTCCGGATTCGTTTCAATAATCGCATTCCTGGTAAATTTCAATATTAACCTTTAGTAGGTATCCTTTAGTATTATCTCTGGTATTCTTCAATTTTTGTAGCAGACAGCAATCAATATAATCTCTGATCATTTTCAACATCGTCCCTGATACGTCTTAAACCTGCCGTTGGTTAACCCAATATAATTCACAACATCTTTTAATGGTATACCTGAGAAATCTTAAGGTCATCTCTAATTTCGATCACAATACGATACTCCTTATCGTTCGCAATTGTCTATAATATTGTCCCTATTTCAAACATTATTTTGTCTTGTCTGGCACCTTTCAACATCATTCCAGACAAAAATCGTTCCAGATACATTTCAAATCGTAATGATACTTCTCAATATCGCCTCTAACATTCCTAACATCGTCCATGGTCTCCCTTCACAGCGCATATAACTACATCCAATAAGATCTCAATAACATGTCAAAAATTGTTCTCAACAACCCAACATGGTTGCTATAGGTGTTGAGACAGCTTGGTAGTACTATGTAAAAACAAATAAAAAACTTATTATGGAATCTACCGGATTTAGCCGTATGTTAATAAACATATTTTAATGTATTTTCGAGGTTCAAGTAGAAGTTCACAAAATATTAAGATTATGATTAAAGTTACTAACTCAAGTGCATTAATATTGAAATTGCTAACAGAAAAACTGATAATGCTGTCAATCACGAAACAATTTTAAATGAAACAAAAACGTACCTCTTAAATCACACCTTCAACTTTCCACGATCATCGTTGTTGAGCCAAACTCTGCAATAAAAGTAAGA